GCTCGGAGGAATACCCAGAGATTCAGTGCCGCCCGGTTAGGATTCTGATGGACGATGTCAAAAAGTAAAAATGGTTGCTTTGCAGTGAAGTCAATCATATTCTCAGTTTTCAATGCAGATCGATGCTTCTAGATATGTAAACTAATTTGCCTGGAAACATGTCTCCCTGTATCTTTTTCTCATTGCGTTTAATACACACCCACATATGTACCTGCAACACAGCAGTGAAGCCGTATCAGGAATAAGTAGGTTCTGGCCATGAGTGGGGCCATCGTTTTCTTGATGGGATCCATTTTTTCCCCCATTTTCATCTAGATATCTGACATACCCTGATGTTTCCATATTAGCCACGTTTACTGGCAGTTTCAAAGTTCATGCTGCAGTGCCCTTTGTAGATTTTGACTTAGGGTCAAACAGTGGGTGCTGTAAACAATATAGAATAGGGAAAGGCAAACTGTTTTCATAGAAAATTGTAATGTACACGTTACTTCAACATGAATTTGGAAACCGTTCTACTTTGAACTGTATATGCTCCCATTGATTTCCTTTCCCACCCAGCACTGGTCTTCTCTGTTAGAAACAAAAAAACATTTCAGTCTCAGACAGCACCAGTGTAACAAAGGCTGCGAGTCAAAAACCACTCCCCAGCCTACTCAGTTTTACCCACCACGCTGGAATTTTCCCTATGGGATTATAATAAATGACTTCTTTCCTCCCCCCTCTCCAAATACAAAGAACATGATGTACAATACACGGCTCTGATCACCTGATGTCACAAAATGCCATCCAGTGTTGCAGCGTAAAATGTCAAGGCTTAGTAGAGAAGCTGGATGTTTTACAAATCATCTTGACCAGGAGAGTAAGAAATCGAATTGTATCCAGAAGCACAGGCCAGATCCATTTCCTGTTAGCCAAAGTTTGGCAGATTACTTTAGGCCTTCCTAGGGGAAAAAAAGGAGGGGGTGGAGAAAAAGATGTACTCTGACACCCTCCAGCTCTTTCTAATTTTGCTGTGGCTTTGACCACATTCCCACTTGGTGCCTCCATTTCCCCTGAAACAGTGGATCCATTCAGCAAAGCCAAGACTCAGTTCAATAAAATATTAAACAGTAACAATTGAATTGTCTGTCTGTATTATAAAAAAGCCTAAGTTGCTCAGACCAGCCACGGGTATAGGGAGATTCTCAGCTATGAGATGCTCAAGGGCGAGAGGATGTGGGCAGGTTGTCATGGAAAGTAATTTTTGCAACAACAGACCTGCCATCTATTGTGAACACGAAATGGTAAGAAAATTCTGTTCGGTGTGTTTGGGACATCCACATCTACGTGCCTTCAATGAGAGACTCTCAAACTGAGGGGAGAGATCTATGCTCTGTGATTCGGGTATTTCTTGTATACTACAGAATCAGCCACGGATATTCTCATTTTGGAACGCTTCATTAGACTGTAACATAGTAACCGACAGTAACATATCAGACGTTGCAGAGTATCAGACATCTCCTTATTTTTCATGGCTCCCACCTTTATCTCCTGCGCAATCCATTTCCTAAAATACATTCCATTTAGGTGCACTCTCCATAACCACTTTAAAACCTACTTCTTCTGTAGAAGCTCGGACTGCTGACGTATAGAACGTATTTATGTTTTCTTAAATGATTTAATGTATTTTTAACATCAAAATTTTTGAAAAATGACAGTTGTGTATATCATATAATTAAAGAGAGTATTTTCCAGCAGTTTCATTCCATAATGGAGTAATTCATTTTCTGTTCATTTACCGTAAATATTTCACCCCAAATTTTAACAGTCTTTTGTAGCATTAATTCATCTTTGGTAACAAAATTACTTAGGTATTAAAGGAGTGTAACAATTGGGTAGATTGGGGGACCATCTCAAAATATGATTTTTTTAAACAAAGTGAAATAATTTTTAACATTTCCATTTTTCTTCCCCAACAACAATTTTCAGACATTTCTGTTTTTTGTTTATGATGAAATGAGAGCCACAAGTAAATGTGTTACTTTCCTGGTGGGGCCGCTGCTATGAACAGAGTCGACACTGTTTTGGGGAAAGGGTTTGTCTTTCCAGAATCACTTCTGGAAATTTATACTCTGGAGAGTAAGGAAAGCAGGGATCTTGGTCAGCCGGTCTCACTTAGCTTTGACAGACCAAGCAAGGATGAACGTGAAGCGAGGCTGCAACAGTTGCGAGAAAGGAAATAGCTTTTTGTATGATATTTAAATAGTGAGTTCCGTCTCTTTGTTTGCCGGCCGTCATGTGCCAACCTTACCGGTCTGTGTCCGTGTTCAGGTTGTTTTGCCGTGACAACCAGCAGGCAAGTTAAATGTCCCACAAACGTATTGTCACCTGAAGTGACTGGGGTCGTAATATTTTTATATTCAGAGAATTCACGAGTGAAAGTGAGGGTTTGTCTAAGAAACTTTTAGTTTAAATACACAGAGCTTCCAATTTCGCCTCTATCTCATGAATTCTGGTTGTCAAGAGGCAGAGAGGAGACGTTCTATCAACTGCTAGCCGAATTGGATAGAAGAAAGAAAATTCAAGAAATCCCAGTGACTGTGGCTGGGGTAGCAGGAGGACGGAGATGAGGTGAAGAATGATTCTAAGTTTAAATGAATTGTCTCTAGTTCTTTAGGTTTTAAAGTTAATTTCCAAGACCGCAGCAATGTGGCACAGTTCTTATTTTAGGTTTAACTTAGATCTTATTTTGCAATAGAATGTAATAGGAAAGCTTTTTCAGTCTTAAGACATTTGTTTTATCACCAGATTTACAAAAACTTTTTTTTTTTTTTAAACTGTGAAGTCAGAAATACAAAACCAACTATGGGAGATAGGGCAATAGTCCCAGACCATCATTTTCTGATCTGGAGCTAATAAGAATTGCTTTTGTATTTCTTTGTCCAGATAGGGTATTCAGATCTTATTTTGAATATGGTTATTATTTAAGCATGTCATTTGGCATACTTCTCTATCAAGTATTCTCCATCTATTGCATTAATAACAAAATATCTATGTACATGCATCATTGAAATAACTTGACTGGATTGGGTCATCTGAGCCTCTACCTTTTCAGCTCTCCAGTCATGCTTTGATCAAGGTAGCCACATGCCCACAGTCCTGTCACTATGTCACCTTTTCTGAAGACATTTGAGATGTGTCTACTCACACAACTCTGGTCCTGGTAAGAAATAAAGAATGGAAACTGACATTACACCATCGGTCTCAGGACAAACTCTGTGTGCTGGCCAGTGCCCTACACTGATAAGTTTCTTTCTTCCCTGAAACCTCTCCCTCTGAGACTTCATTTCTGTAGAATCCCATCAACTCCCATCCCCCCACATAGCTGGATCTATGAGAAAATGGCTCTTTCTTTCATTGCACACGTTGTTCTTCAATCATGAACAGCCCCACCCTTAATGTGCAGGCAGCGGCACCTCTATGGAGAACTGAGGCATTCCTGGTGTTGGTCATTTATAAAAGTGGCTTGGCCTGCTGATTGGAAGCTGGAACATAAGGGGTGCTCTTATATGTCCAAGAGAAACCACGAGCCCCTGGTAGAAGGACAGGAATATCTAGGAAGAGCTCCCACTTAACAGGTGTTTTAAGGACACCAGACGTGGAGAAGAATTTGGATACATGCAGAAGAGAAACCTAGGGTGGTCCCTCTTTTCTTCAGTGACTATTTCAGTCCATGTGATTTACAAAATCTTTGGCATTTTCATTGTCTAACTATAACAGTTTCATATTACACATAATCCTAGATATTATTTCCTTTGCAGGTGTGATCTGGTTTTCTTTGAAAAGCTTTTTATCCGTTATTTTGATTTATATAAATGGTTCATCTTTAACTATTTTCAGTAAGTTACTGAATTCTAAATAGTTCTAAACGATTTGTCAGTTTTCACCTTTGGAGGTTTTACCATGGATTTTACCTGGTGTAATATAGTGACTCACTTACACATGGTCTGGGAGACAGAATGAGCTCATGAAGGGTGTGGGTGTAGGTGGAGAGGCCTGTGAGGCAGGAGGCCACAAGCACATGGTGTCCTGGAAGACAGTGGAGGCAGCTTTCCAGGAAAGCAGAGGAATCACCATGAGATAGTGCAGGGAGGTCAAGGAAAATGAACACCAAGAGTTGAACACTGGGTTTAGGAATGCATATGTCATTGGTGACTCCCACCAAAGTGATTCTTGTGGAAACACTGGGGGGCGGGGAGCAAAAGTTTATTGGAGTGGCTTCAACAGTGAAGAGGAGAATAATTTGAGATGATAGGGAAAGACAACTCCTTTGAGGTTTTCTTGTTGGAAAAAAGAGCAACAAAGCAAGAGGGTAGCCTACAGAGGAAGTAAGACTTCATTTTTGTTAGATTTGGGGTATTTTATTGATTTTTAGTATTTAAAGATAATTTTTAAGATTAAGAAATAACATATTTGTTTCCGGATGGGAAGAAAAAAGTTGACAGTTGGAGGAATATAAAAAATTTTCTGATAAAATAATTTCTATAACAGAATTCTTAAAGCAGTTATTCTTTCTGAAAGAAACCCACATTTTCTTGCCATCATGGATATATAACACAAGTGAGGTGGCAGTACACGTTTCTTTTGTCCCTGGGCTTTCATGGTAAACCCACCCTTTATCCTCAGTTGTTGACAAAGCCCAGATATAATTTCCTTTTGGAAATGTTTTTTACTCAACTATATTTTAAACCCCAACTTTGTGAGTTAATGTTGTAATTATACTTCTTGTTTTTAACATACTCACTTTAAGTTGAATAATCAGACCAAATGAAGTCAACAGTATCAGGTGAAACTCTTCTCTTTGACTTCTCAAGCAATACTGTAGTGCTTTATCTCAATAGACTAATTGGTGTGGAACATTCTTGAGTCAATATGTCGCCCATCTGAAATGGTCATAGAACGAGTGGATCTGCATGGCCATAATTACCTTGTGAATTGTTTTTCTTTCTCCCCCACAATAGCTTTGTGTCAACATGACCAATGAGAAGATGCACCACTACATCAATGAAGTGCTTTTTCTGCACGAGCAAACAGAATGTGTACAAGAGGGAGTTACCATGGAAACAGCTTATTCTCCTGGGAACCAGACTGGAGTTTTGGATTTTTTTTTCCAGGTATTCATATAATATAATTAGATACTTTACAGGATTTAAATATACTGGAGATAAAGAATTTTCTTTCAAGGGGCCTTCATTGTGAGATGGCTTTATATCTGAGACTTCACTGTATTAATTTTTTCAGAAATTTATTTCTTTCAGAATCAATTTGGGAGCACAAATTACCCTTTTCCTACAGGGGCATTTGAAGAATCATCAATTCATTGGAAGGGACTAGAAATATCAGATCATTTTGTTATAAAAATATTCAACATTGGTTATGTCAATAAAACTCCCCCTTCAGCACAGTTACAAATGCTCAGTGTACAAAATTAATATTTTATAAAACAATACTAAGACTAACAAGCTCATAGAACAAATTCAACAAGATCTTTTTAATTTATCTCTGAAGTTTGTAAGTTGAAATATGGAAAAACATTGGCAGAAAAATATGTTTGTGTATGTACAATATTAGGACCTCTGCCGGTGCCAATCCTTACCTTTTTTTATTTCTACCTTATAATGCAAAAAACTTTGCCTCATATCTCTATCATAAAAACAAAAATCTGCCACACAAACAGCAATCCCTCTGTACTAATGTAGAAAGACATGATATACATATATTGATACTATCTCTAAAACACTTGAACATTGTTTAAAACTGATGCCTTTCAGCCACTGGAGAACATAGGCTGTAATTTTCCACCCTTTATTTCTATAATTGTAGATTTGCAAATTTACTTTATACCTTTACCAAGTATGTGAAATAATCTTGTTCTTTTTACAAACTTGTCAACCTTCTTTATTTTAATGACAGAAGAAGCCATCTTCCTCCAGAAAACCATCCCTCATCATGACACACATGGTATATAACTTCTTTATACAAGGTTTGAAAATGTCTTCAAACCAATAGCAGTATGTAGTGAACTGTGTATGGGAAACCTCAGAAACCTGCTGCCCTCATTCTCACTGGCTGCTGTATCTTTGACTGCTAGCCACTGGCCAGCCAAATGATGTTCTTTTTATGTCTTTGATGGCTGTGATGTTCTATGTATTCAATGGCCATGATGTTCTTTCTATGTCTTTGATGGTCATGATGTTCTATGTCTTTGATGGCCATGAAGTTCTTTCTCTGTCTTTGATGGCCATGACATTCTTTCTATCTCTTCAATGGCCATGATGTTCTTCCTCTCTCTTCCATGGCCATCCTTGAGATTTCAGCATGGAGTCATGATTATCTCAATAGGAGGACCCTCATCAGAATGAGTTGGAAATGAGAGTGGGTTTTTCTCACTGCTGCTTCTCTTTGATACCCATAAAAATGAAAAGATGTACCAAGTATAGGGTGAAGCTTGAGTATTTATGTACAAATCTGCAAGTCTGTATACCAGACAGTCATACCCTATAATACAAAGGAAGCATACCGTTTCCTTCCTTGTACCCATAATCCACTATTGCTCACAAACATCTGTGATTTTTGCTAAAGCCATTAATTCATATTTCAACAAATATGTATTAGTCTTATGTCCATGAATGGAAGGCGTGGATCTAGATTCTTACCTGACTCTCCGTGTGTCTAGTGCACTTTGTTACCCTGTTGGTCCTCAGTGCTTTCTGCTGTCAAGGTGAAATGACATACATTTTGTAGAACAGTCTCTCCTAAACCCTCACTTCTGAAGGAATTGGACGCCATTTTTTATGACTTCTCCATGTTCTATTTTCTTCTTCAGACATGTCAGCAAGTTTCCAAGTCTTTAAGTTTCATTACTACCATTCTGTGTTTTTATATCAAACATCCAGAAAACATAATACATACAAATTTAAAAACTTTTGCAGACAATACAAATTACAGTGTTTTTAAAAAAATATCTTGTTGGTTTCTGACCATCTTATCCTTGGAAAACATCATCTTGCTTTTGGAGTAGAACAGGTTGGCTATTTTGGAAGTGATCCCTTCCTTTATACTACTTAGGGCCTTGACTTTGAGTTACTGAAACACCCATTAAAGCTCTAAATTTGAGCCTCCAAAGAGGTCTGTCAGCCCCCAAAACATGGATGCATTTGCAATGTCCTTAACCAGCCCATTCATCCTTCCACTGCATGCCTGTGTGTGCCCGTGTGTGTGTGTGTGAAGGGAGTAAGTGTAACAGTATCTGGAGGAGTGTCATGGCCTGATGTTCAAAGGCATGGGTAAAGGAGCTACTGCTGATCTTACGTATCAACAGCTTACTCTTCAGCAAATAGGTTGCTACACACTGAAATGAAAAATCTGTTCTTTCAACACTTCCCAGGCAAGACCAGCCCTCTTCCAGCTCCTCACTGAATTTTCTTTTAGGGCCTCTCTCCGTCCATTGTGGGTACCTACGCTTTGGTTTTTTACGTCTGGCTCTTTATAGGGTCCTTTGTTATCTGAGAATATACCATCTAGTGGACTTCCTTCTCCACATCCCCTTATCAGATACATTTCTGTGATGGTAACACAAGTCTCTGGAGTTGTTAGGGACCGAAGTCATTTGCTGAGGTGGGTCAACTTGATTCTTACCAGCCTACCCAGTTCCTTCCTCATGCTCCTTCCCCCTTTATCCACCCATCTTCTCCTTCCTTCCCAGGAAGGCTGTCTGCTCATTCCAAAGATGCTCCTTCAGATGCCAAATGTCTCCCAAGGGGCTCCCCCTGGTACGTGAGCCCCCACCAGGCATAAGTCCTTCCCCTGGCCACCATTTTCAACCTTTCTTCTCTACAGGTGGCATTGGAAGGATCTCAACATTTACAGCCCTGAGATAACTGTATCTAGTCTTTGCATTTTCTTTACCATGAGCAGGAAACCCCGAAAGGCCTAAAACAACTGAAGTATTTTAGCCACAAAGAGACAACTTTCTACTGGCCAAATGAATAAGATGAAAGGCCTGTGGTGGTGGGTTTGGTGACCTTGGGTCAAAATGCAAACTGAGTCGCTAGAGGGGTCAATATGTCTCTTCACTTCCTGAGAAGAATTATTTTATAGTATTCACACTTCCAAAAGCACACTGGGTTGATGCGAAGAATTCAGCTATATGACAGAATGAGGTAAATAAATAGCATAAATTACCTGATTTTTAAAGGTGGATTTGACATGTCAACAGAAGAACTTTCCTAGGGAAGAAAAGATAAATAGCAGTGGGTCAACATTATTCACCTGGCGCGTAAACCGAGTGGGTGCTGTGGTGTTCTGTGTGTGGGGAGCAAACTGTCAGGGCCATCTGAGAAGTTCTTTCAAGCCGTGTTTTCCTTCACATGAGATTAATTTTAAGTGGTTGCTTATATATGACTTTAGCTTCTGTGTTTGACAGCTATAAACTATCTGACTTCCAATTTGGATTTTATAAGTGATAGGTTCCAACTGTATTTCTTCTATTTCCTAATATTGGAATATTGTAGTCACTTCTACTTCCTGCTCAGTAGGGTCTTTCTGCAATTCTTATGACTCAACATGATTGTAAGTTCTGTTTTCGGAGAAGTTACTTGACCCGTCATAACTATAAAGAGTTTGATATGGGTTAGAGGTCAAGAAAAATTACACTTCTCCTTTAGTTGGAAATTCCATTTTTCTTTTTGAGATGAGAATATACTTTTTTAATAACTCCAGCGTTTGAATGACATTAAAACACACTCTTTAATTTATTTACTCATTATCAATTATTAATCAACTGATATTTTTGGGCCTACATTACATCAGAGTTTTGGTAGGTGTTCGGGATACAGTAGTGAACAAACATAGATGTGTATTAAAAGTAGACTAATTCATTTTTTGAGGGCTTATATGAAGATAGTGAAAATATAAATGAACATACATGTACAATAATAAGAAAACCATCAAACTGAGTAATGGAAGAAAAAATACTATCTCTTCTTGATTTTCAGAAACCATCTGGATTTCTCTCTTTATTGGATGAAGAAAGTCAGATGATTTGGTCAATGGAACCAAATCTTCCCAAAAAGCTACAAAGTCTCCTTGAATCGTCAAACACAAATGCAGTCTATTCACCCATGAAGGATGGGAATGGGAACATGGCGCTCAAAGACCAGGGCACAGCCTTCACCACCATGCACTACGCAGGAAGGGTAAGTTGAATGAGCAACGTGGTGTGGCATGTACGCTGAGCGACCACACCTCTTCGGGATAAGCTTTCAAGTTTTAGATATTTTAGAGTTGATTATTTCAATGAATGGAAGTTGGGTGAAGAACCCACACCATTTTACTTTCCTGAGCTCTTTTATTTCAACCTGAGAAGGACTTTGCATCTTCAGAATGTGGGTGATGAAGCAGGTGGTCAGATCCTTCCATAACGTTCCCCAGATTATAACATCATGTGAGCAAGAGGGCCTTGGCTTTAACAGAGACAGCTCTGCTCTGAACTTTGGGATCCCTTCATTAGCCAAAGAGGTATTGGTCTTCTGACTTGACTTGTCTTCAGTGTAGTTTTTAGTATTAAATTATTTTTCTTAGAGCATGGCAACCTGAGTAAAGAGAGCTACTCTTCACCCTCAGTTCCCTAAACAGCTTAATAAAATGTGCCTCTTCCTTAAACACCTTCAAGGACATCCTCTTAACTGTCTATAAAAACCTCACACCCCTTAGGCCCAGCTAATATCCCAGGTTTGCAGAGCTGATGCCAGTCATTTTAGCCATGACTTCTGTGTCACAACCCCACCCCCGGGGCAAAACCCACACCCTCCGGGCTTCCACTCCTCCTAATCAAGCTTGAAATACCCTCCTCTTCTTCACAAGGTCCCATTGTCGCCATCTTTTGATGCTGGAATCCACATTCCACTTACCTTCCATCCAGGCCCATCTGCGGTTACCACCTTCCACCTTTGAATTTGTGGCCCCTGGGTTCCCCCCCTTGGCCCTTAGCAGCAGTTACCTATCAGAGGGCAAAGCCTCCAGTCCACGTATTCCAGGTCATTTCAGTCCATGTTCACTGAGACTCTACTAGATGCCAAAGTCTGAGCATTAGAGAAGCAAAGATGAAGAAGCCATATTCCTTGTCCTTAAGTACCTCACTGTCGACAAATAAGGAAAAGGCAAATTAACAAATAGTTATGATATAATTTGCTTATAGTAACATAGGTAATATTAACAAAGTTCTGCATTGCCTGGAGAACGAAGTAATCATCTTTGGCTCCCAAAGAAAGTGTAGAAACGTTTCCTGGAAGAGGTCAGGTGTGGCCGAGGCCTCTGGAGATGAGCTAGAGCTCAGGAAGGATGAAATGAAGGTGCATTCTGGTGGAAACGTGGACGTCTGAATGGCATCGCCAACCCCCAGGACTCCATTGCTTGGGACAGAATCCACTTTAGTTGTTCAGGTGGAAAATAATTTGGTATAGGGAAATACTTTCCAGGAGACCCTATGTTGAACATTGAGGAATGACTCAAAAGCACACCACATTATGGGGCTTCCAACATACCTGTGGCCTTGTCTTTGATCCGGAAGCTTCCAGTCAGATGGAGAAGCTGCTGCTCCAGGCAGTGACTCTCAGTTCCTGCCATCCACCGCTGACACCAGGAACGTGCCCCTCCCCGGTCGTCAGCATGGAGAGGTCAGTGAGCCAATGACCAGGCTGGGAGGTCTCCATTGCCAGAGAAGTCAAGGTGTCTTCGTGACATGCTTATGAGACATGCAGGAGACGCAGCAGAAGCTCCCCCACGCCTACCTTCAGGATCCTGAGCAGGAGTGCCAGACGGGTGGAAGCTGAAGAGCCATCAGACGCTAGCTGCAAGGAGGCCTGGGAATGTTCCCACCTTCTGATGTGTGCGGTGCAAGAAGGCGGCTGTTCCTGAGAGCGCCGTGGGCCCTTCTGCCATGTCCACCCACCCTGTATTTGGGAAATGGTACAAGAAGTACAGTTAAGTCTCTAGAGATTGGCTGGAGATAAGTCTTAAAAAAAGCTTTTTGGACCAAAGCATGAATAAATATACATGGACTAGTCAGGACTTTGTCCTCTTGACGGAGTGAACTCCCCACGTATTTTCAGGCAGTGCGGGGGATGAAGTAAGGAAAACAGAGGACACAGTAGAGGATGGATTGGGGGAAAGTGGAAGGGGGCTCTGGGAACACGCAAAAGAGAACCCTTTGGACCATAGCAGAAGATCGCAGAGGTGGTGTTCTCCAGACGAGGCTGCCGTGCTGACAGACTGCATGTCCCAAGGAGAGAAGGAGCTGCGGCTTGAAATGACAGGAGTCTCTCTCCCTACCCTGGATGGATGGTGCCAGCGCCAACCACGAGAGGAATCCTGGGGAAGAGGCAGTTTGGAAGGAAAGATACTCAGTGTAGATGTTTTGATTTTGAGATTTTTAATAGAAACTTCAATAGGATATGACAAATAAAAGGGGTTGGTTGTTTTTAGAAACATAGGCATATTTGCAGAAATGTGTGTCTTGATTATTTCCCTCACGAAGAGCGTGGAGAAGATGGAGAAAAGGAGTAGGAGAGAGAATCATGAAAACCAAGAGAAAAGAAGGAGGAAGGGGGTCCGCAGGAGATACACCTGAATGGAACAGGTGGGCCAGGAGTGTCCTGGGGAGATGCTGTGGTATCATGGCGCCGTGGGATGGGCTGAGCCGTGAATCGCTGTGGAGAGGGCCTCAGTGTGAGATTTTACACACACACACACACACACACACTCCTCACGTTTTATTAACTTATTCACTACCTTTTATATAGGAGAGATTTAGCCTTTAAAATTTTTTATAATGTAGCCAAACTTCTAGTCCTATATTCACATTTTAATCTATATTTTCCTTATATTGAGCAGTTATGAATTCATGGGACTTAGTTGAAATATTACAGTAAGACATAAGTAGTGATTTTAGAAAACTACTTCCCTATTTTCCTTTAAGTTTCGTGGAAGCTGTCTTCAGACCATCTCTACCTGACCCGCCTCACAAGTCCGTTTGTATCAAATCTCGAAGACGTGTCAGGTTGTTCAATAAATGCTAATTGCATTAAATAGAATGGGACCAAGCTTTGGAATAATGTTTTGTTTGTTAATTATTTTCTGTTTGCTTCTAAAAATTATTCCACAGCCACTTAATAGAATTTCCATTTCAGTTTTTGTTGTTTTTCTGTTGTTGTTGTTGTTGTTGTTTAATTTGGGGAAGAACATTGAACAGTGTGAATAAATACAATTATTTCCTGCAGCTCTGGTAGCAGGAAAGCAGAGTAGAGCCCATCCATTGATTAGCTGCCACAGAGCCAAGTCCCATGGAATTATGAATTTTTCTCTAAAAGTGCCTTTATGTTTTAAGCAGGATTTTCCATAATTGGAGTCAATTTTGTGGTTTTAGAAAAATCTTTCATTTTCCTGAGATCTGCTAATGAGTCTTAGCCCAAGGACTCCCGAAGGGCTCATTCACATGTTACAGTATAGATTATATGTAATTTGTGGCAATATGTCAAGCCATATGCCTTTCTAATCATGAGATGTAGCTACATATATTTAATCTTGAGCTACTGCATTTTCAAGGAGAGCAGCATATTCTGCATTTTATAAACCAAGACACATAGCAGAGAGCCAGTTGGTTTAGCAACAGCATGCACAATCTCTTGGACTGTCGTATGAGCGTTCCTGCGGGGCTCTTTGGTGATAAAGCTGGTCCCAGGGAAGAAGCTCAGTGGCTCTTGGGTTCCTGGGTTGCTTTGCGTCCCCTTCTCTGGCCAGACGGATGGGCTGGAGTGTCGCTCAGGTCACCCTAGCTCTTCTGTGATGGGGTTACCTGGTTTTGTGAGGGAAAACTCCCCTCTCCTGGGAAGGCTGACCACGGTGGCCGGTGATGATACTAATCTCCAGCCCCCCTAGGAGGGACCGTTCTGCTCTGACTACGAGACCCCGCCGTGCTTCTAAATCTGGTTTGGAGCAGAGGCTCCTAGGTCCTTTTAGAAATGTTTAAGCAACATTATTTGAATTATAGCTGAAGATCTTTCCTAAACACATTTGAATTTTTCATTACTCATAGGAGCCTGGTGTATTTTCCAATCTCCATTACAGAAATATTTTAAAGTAAATGGGGAGAGACTGTGCATGAAATATTAACAGGGTCTCATTAATGAGCACGGATGTGAACTAAAGAAGGCTGAGGGGGGTTTGGTTGTTGTTATTTGTTTTAGCAAATTTTAAATCATATATGGATTAGCTGTTTTAGGAATTGCTCTCAAACTTCCAGGGGTGATTTAAGTGATGGATACGCATTAAATCCAGAAGTATGTCTAATTTTATTGGCTTTTAAAATTAAGAATCTTGAAAGAAAGAAGAATTATGATTTGGAAAAAGACATTGGCTCCCAGGAAATCTGAATTTCCATCAAGGTGGTTCTGAGCTGACTCTAATAGGAAACAGTACTTTGAAGGTCCTATATTTTAATGTGAGCAAAGGGAATAGATTAGGAGACACGAAAGCGATCAGAAGTAATGAAAATGAAATTAATGAAAATACAGGTCACAGTAATGGTTACAAAATATATGATGCTTGCCTATCTGACCTCGTTGTCTGCTCATAAGGTCTGTGTTTGAAAATTGTTTATTGCAATCGTTTGTTTTGACACAAAGTGATGCTCTTTGGATCCGATGAGTGTCCTGGAAGACTGGCCTGGTTTATACAAATCGAGTTGGTGATACTGTTCTTGCCTGAGATCATGTGTCTATATTTCAGCCTCGTTCTCTCCCCAAACCCTTAAATGTTGCAGTGGGCTGAATGGTGGCCCCCAAAAAAGGTGTGGCCACGTGCTCACCCCTAGGCCCTCAGAATGGAGGCTTCTGTGGAAAGGGGTCTTTGTTTACATAATGAAGCCCAGGATCTCGAGGTGAGGAGATCACCCTGGATGATCAGGGGGTATTCTAAATCCAAGGGCAAGTACCCTTCTGAGAAGGAAGCAGAGGGAGATTTGCGAGAGAAAGGGAGACCACACAAGCAAGGAGGCAGGGACAGGAGAGATGCAGCCACGGGGCAGGGTGCTCCAGGGCCCCCAGGAGCTAGAAAAGGCAGGAAGCCATGTCCCCTAGAGCCTCCGGGTGCGTAAAGATATGCCCAATGTCTGAGTTCTGGCCTCCAGAACTGTGAAAGA